ACTGGGAAGGAGAGGGGAGACATTGACACATACACACACTGCCCACACACACACCATACACATTCACACACTGCCCACACACACACACACCATACACATTCACACACTGCCCCCACACACACACACACACACCATACACATTCACACACTGCCCCCACCCACACACCATACACATTCACACACTGCCCCCCACACCCACACAATGAACCTTTCACACACATTGCACCACTCCTATACCCTATTACAGCCCCATATCCCTTCAGACTCCAGGTAAGTTGTCAAACTGTTCTTAAACGGTTTGACTACTTACTCTGGGATGGGGTGCCGACACTCCTGGCACCATAACCACTACACACAGGAGTAGTGGTTATTGTGCATGGAATATTTCTTTAAATAATCTACAAGTGCCCCTCCCGGGCTCAGGCTCTGTATCCGTCACTGGTATATGACATGTATATTAATGTGTATATTTGTTATTTATATATGCATAATACACAGAGAAATTTCATTAATATGTACCATATGTAATGAGCAGATATTGGCCCAATCTTGTTGCTAGGTGCATACTCAAGCACAATAACATTTTTACAGTTGTGCCCTACATACATTCACCATTTCAGTCCCATTAACAAGCTTTACTTAATATGTCAAGGTAGTTGGACTGAAACATTGATTACATGCAAAGGCACGTCTGCTTAAAATAAATCTGCACTTGTTTTTTTTGAAGCCTATGAGTGCGCTTTTTACGTTGAAGTACTTTTTAATTTTAAGTTATCTGTTCTAACTCTGTATCTGCACACTATGCTGGCGCGACGCATTATGGGGCTGGTAAATATTTTTTTTCCAGGGCTGCTTTTAATTCCCAGTCCGGCCCTGGCAGCAACGACAAAACAAAGAAAAAAAAGTTACCTGCGCTCTCTCCTTAATCCCTATGTATATATACATATAAATACACACACAAAAAAAATATAGAAACTATTTAAAACAATTACAAAATGAAACAAAAAAATTAAAGGGATTAATAGTAAAATTGATTATGAAAAATGTAATTATGTGGAGCAATGAAAATTAGAAATTCAAAACAATTTAAAATGTTTGAGATACCTATGGTACATTTATGTAAATAGTTACTATAACTAGTTTATCCTTAAAAATTAAAATAAAAAAAAACATTTTCATAAGATTTTATATGAATAATTAAATCTCATGTTAAATAAATACTGCAAAGAGGCATAATGATTCATGATTATTAGTTACATTTTTTGATAAGTATGGGACATGGTGAGAATTTTTGATCCATTCTCACAAATTAATTGTAACGTATATTTATATATATGTAAATTCAATTGTATACATAGTTGTAATATATCTAAATACATTGTATCATACATGTCTATGTTAACCTTTTTGTAATACTAAAAAGTTAACTTTCTGTATCAACTCGTTTGTTATTCACGGATTGTAATTAACATGTGATGTAGACATAGTGATTTGATTGGTTGTAATCACCGATATAACACATTGTGTGATGCACTTAGAATTATTACTTCCTAAAGACAAATTTATTGTCAAGGCTTTGCCTTGTTCACGTTCGAGGGCACAATAAACCACCGTGAGACACTTGATTATTTGGATTGCTGGCATAGCCTTTTAAGCCATCCCTAACTCTTTCAGGGCAACATTGCTCTGATGATCCGATGGCTATGTATAGAGAAACAACGGAGTGTCTGCACTTTCGGTGCCAGGAAAACCTTGAATTTTGTTTAAAAATGGTTTGTCAAAAAAGAGTGCACTGCACCCAAAGACACCTTCCACCAAACGAGGATGAATTGACACGTGGAGCATGGAATCCAGTGACAGGTAGAACAAAGAAGGCTGTGACAAGCAGTGAATTTGGATATCTGTAGCTTTTGTGGTATGGCTATGAAACTGTTCTGATTGTTTGTGGTTAAGGAATCTTCTTGAAGAGCATCTATCAGGGAGATCTTCTCTGCACAGAGGATGGAGTAGTAGTATCTGGATTAACTGTGGTGCCACAAGGACGGCAGTGACACTAAGGTATCAGTGGGAGAAAAGAAAATGTGTTGCAGACTTCCCAAGTCTCCAGGTAGTTCTGGGAGACTCCCAAGTTTGGAATGCGGCTCCCTCAAACCCACACATCACATGCAACATCCCAGGAAATTACACACACATTCTGACATACAATGTGTGTGTGATTTCCAGGATATTGTACTATTTAGCATAATACTTGCTAAATAATACTTTCTAAACGGGCCCGTCAGGTGCCGCAGCGATTTAAGAGCCAACCGAGCCCTGTGATACCAGTTGGCAGGGAGGAAGTGACAACCTGTCACAGCTCTTCACTTCCACTCAGCTTCCAAGAGCCACCCAGGAGGAATGGTGGGAGCATGAGACTGGAGGCAGTAGAGGAGAGCAGGGCAGCATGGAGGAAGAGGTGAAGCTGTAGTGAGCTGCTGCCACATGCTGACTCCCATCAGCCTCAGCCAGGACCAGAACCCCAAGTAAGCCATCCTCCTGGACACAAAGGTAAGCTAACATGTTGGGGTATCTGGTGTTGTGTTTGTGAGCACAGTCCATCCAGGTGGCTTTTATAAACAGACCAAATTAGAACAGTCTAAGAGCAGAGTGCAATAGTAGCTTCTGTGTAGGCATATTGAGTCTTCTGTGTGTAATTATACATTAATAGTGTGTAGTGGGAATGTATACAACGATATGAAAGTTAAGATGCTCTCTATCTGACAGCAGTGGTGTATTCTGTTTTTGTGCTGCCCTAGGCATGACAAAACCTGGACACCCCCCTTCCAAATTTCTCTTCCTGACAGAAACACGCCCTCATTGATGCATGCACCGACATACACTCACTGACAGATACACAGTCATTGTCACACATATTGTTTAACCAACACACTTTCACTAAAATATACACATTCACAGTTACACACTCACATTCACGACAGACACACATACACACGAACTGACAGATGCGCACTCACTGATAGAAATGCATACACTCAGAAAGACGCACACTCACTCAGTATCAGACCCACACACACTGAGACACATATATACTTACTGACAGATACACACTGACAAACACACATACACACTCATAGTCAGACATAAATGCACTCAGTGTCAGACACACACCACTCAGTGTCAGACACACACATTTACTGACAGACACATACACTAGCTGACAGAAATACACATTCATTACCAGACATAAACACACTAACACATGCATACACACCTACAGAAATGCATACACACACAAAACACGCATACACACACTAATAGACACTCATACACACACTGACAGACATACATACACTCTCAGTGACAAACATACACACTCTTTGACAGACAAATGCACTGACACACACTAACACACTGACTTACAAACACACTAACACACTCACTAACAGACACACACTAACAGACACATACTCACAATTGTTTTTTTAATGTCAAATCAATCCAGCCACGCTACATTTCAGAGCTGGAGTTGATTCTACCCTGGGGTCCAGTGGGGCTGCTGCTGGCTGTGCTGGCAGGCACAGGCGTGGGTGGACAGTCAGGGAGACAGGCGCACAGTCATCCTCCAGCTCAGCTCCCTCGAGCGCCTCTCAGTGATGCTGCATGCAGTGCTCCCTCACTGCCCGTAAGAAACAGAATCGATGCCAGCCTCGGGGGGCCCAAGATGGCGAGTCAGCCCCTTCCTGAGTCCCCCTGGACAAGAGGCTTATCAGGCATTTGCCTGGGTGTTTGGGGGGGAAGCTTTTTTGCCGCCCCCCTGAAAGTGCCGCCCAACGCAAATGCCTTTTCAGCCTCGCGCTAGATACAGCGCTGTCTGACAGGAGATTTTGGTTATCTTCTTGCAGGGGAACCATTTGCTTATCTAATATATTTAAATGTTTATTTTACCCATCATACTGCCCGCTGTAGAGGATATGATAGTAAGAATACTCTGATGCCGTTCTCTGGTAATAGAACACATATTTTTATTATGCTTTGCCCTCGTACCTCGTACTGCGTGGCACCGGGGCTATGATACAGGCAGGGTTAATGACATACGGCTTCTGCATCGCTGCTGAAGCTGGATGCTAATTATGCCCCTCAGTCCAGTCATTGGCTGAGATTGTCAGATTAATGCTCTCAGACAATGAATTAGTGTCTGTGCATTGAAATTTGCACTCTTGTTCTGGGCTGGCTGATGACACCCCATGATGCTGCCAGAGGTGTAGCATATGCAGCATTCTATAGTGAAGCGTTGTGCATACAGACTCCAGGCAGCTTCTGTTTGTTCTCATGAAACTAAACCCTCATTGGATGACAGTGTCAGATGATCACTCTCAGCTAGCAAGCTCAACTTAGCTTCTGGCTCTCACTGAGCTGTAGTGGAAGCAGTCAGCACTGCTCAGTAGACCCCAGTAGGAAGTCAAACTGTTCTAAAATGATTTGTCTACTTACAATGGGGGGCACCAGTACACTGCTCACACCATAACCACTTCATCACATTGTAGTGGTTATGGTGCTAGGAGTGTTCTTCTAAGAGATAACATCAGACATTATAGACTAAAATGAGAAGCTTGTGAATGAAGGAGCTTATTCTTGGGTCTGCCAGAAGTTGCCATCAGATAAATATTTTTAATCTTATTTTACCGCATTGTCTACATATAATGGGGTATTTTTTTTTTTTTAATACTGTTTCCTTTTAAAACAACTTTAAAAATGACAATACAGATGAATGCCACCTTCAGAATTTCCCAAACCAACTCAAGGTGAACACACGTTTTCACGAAATCAAATAGTGTAGGATACAAGACATGGTAGATTAGCATTAAGGATTATGCAAATCTTGATTCAGCGAATTCTTTCCTGACCAGTGTCCTAAAGTATGCAGTTTACTTAGCTAGCATAACAGCCCTCATTTTGTGTACTTAAAAGATCTAATCTCCATCATCATTTAGAATGTGCAAGTCGAACAAGCATTCTGTTTCCATCAACACCTTCTGCAAGGTATGTTGTTTGTAGTCTTAAATTCTTTTTCTTAAAATATGTATTTCCTTTTTTAACTTTATTATATTATATATAACTAAAATATTTATTGCATATAACTAAAATGTATCAGGGAGACATTGGCAATAAGTAAGCACCATTGAAAATGTGTGAATACTGTATATTAAGATTGGTACCTCATTGTAAAGGTTTGTATAATTGGTTAATACTGCCACAGTTTGTCGTTTTTAGATTATATGGGGGAATGTTTTTTCCTGGCAACATCTGGCTGCTTATCCTTTGATTTCCATGGTTGGGAAGCTGTAGGCTGGATCTCACCAATGATTTATATGAACATATAACGTTGTTATGATTATATATTTTAGTGATCTTCTTTCTGCTGGTTTACTGGTGGAGCTAATCTGTTACTGAATCAAAAGAGGAAAGACTAATTGTCCTGCTGTTTCATACTGGAAGAACACGGAGGTGCAAAGGAACAGCTGATCTGCTTATGACTTGCAGAGTTATTCACTAAAGTGAGAATTCAAAGGGAATTTATTTTTTATTTTTTTGTTTTCAGTTCAGCAACTTTGACCTTAAATTTGAAATTCACTTAGAATTCACTTTGATTTCTCACTGTTGGTCTTTGGCCGTTGCCGTTGACTCTTGCTGTACCACTAATTGCTGTTTGTATACTCTCCAATAAAGAAATGTCCAATCTGTTCAATTTATGATTACAAATTTTTTTTTTCCCTTAAAAATGTTCTTTACAAAAAGAAAAAGAAAAAAAATTAACAAAGAAAAAAACACCAAACATCACAACTGCATCTTTGTTCAATTAAAAAGGATGCCTGTTTCCATGGGCAGAACATGGATTTCCATTGGCATTGGTAGACAACACTAGGTAAAATGTCATTTTTAATTTTTAAGCAATGTTGAATATAGATACTCCACTATGTTCACATATTTTAGCAGAATACGAATAGGACAGCACCGATACTGGTCTAGAAGGAACCCCCTTAGTGCCAAGGTACATGGGCAACCCTGGTACTAAAGAGAAATGGAGTTGGATGTGTTTGTGCACATCCAGCAATGTATTACATGTATGTAGGGGTAGTGAGATCTTATAATGCTGGTTGCAGGGTATTAAAAGGAAGCAACACACGGGTTGGCATCTATCTTTACTAACACTGGGCACCTCAGAAAATGTAGTCGATGGTGTGAGCTAGGTGTACAATTAAATTAGCATATTAATCAGAGTGCAATTAAAGTAGTTGAGGGCCAGACACCCTTAATCTTAATAAGATTCTAACTATTAGGTTTTCTCTACTTCTGTGCCTAGAGAGTAGCTATCTTACTTAAGGTGTATGTATATGGCTGAAGGATCATAGCATACACTAAAACGGCTGTATTTTACAAATTTTTACATATCTTCATTTAAAAAAATATTTTTCCTTCCTATCATTCACTATCTACCCCTCATTCCATAGCCTAGGCAAATGGGGTTATATCAGGTAGACAGCATGACTGCTTCATTTATTTCTCCATCACTGTTCCACTAATGGGTAAAGAAGAACTATTCAAATGATCTCTGTGTTCCCTATTTTTACATCACTTGATGCTCTCACCAGCGTCCAAGTCCAGGAAGAAGGACAGAGGAGAGGCAACTGACAATTGCTAGGAGGGGACAATTTTGCGGTTAAACCATTTTCATAAATGGTTTAACCTCATACTATAAGATGGCAACCAGGGACTCCAGGCTTTATTAAGACTTAATAGAGATGATGTTGTTATGGGGTGGAGGGAACGACTCTTTGAGTATTTATCAATTGCCTAGAGGATGGGGAGAAGATAACTAACATTAATCCCCCACCAATGGGTGAAGGTACTAAAGGGGACTATTGAATAAGTTCCTGCATACCTTCTAACATTTCAAATGTACAAAGAGGGACAATCATTTAAAAGATGTGAGTTTGTGTGTGATCAGAGGCTGGGCTGTTCTGAGAAACTTTAGTTGACATACTAATAATTTATGCAACTAAAATGTAATTTTGAATGATAACGATATATCTTTCACACAAACTGATTTCTTGTTTTGGATTTCTGTTATATATTAAGACACACCAACAATATGTAGCTTGTAGAAATGAGGGACATTAGGATAGAAAAGAGGAACAGAGAGATTTGGGCCCAAAGTAGGGACTTTCGGGAGGTATGTTCTCACTCTCCCAATTTCTCACTGTACTTCTCATCCCACAGTCTACAGGAGATGGGGCAGAGTAGAGGGTGTGACTGCCCAGTGCACACCTGATCAGATGTCTCACCTGGGTAAAGGGATAGTTTACCCATATCTTTCACTGTTTGCACAAATAGGTTTTGTAGGTACCTATTTGAAATAAAGTGCTTGAGCTGTGCATGGAAAATTAATTGCAGTAATTTAATTTCTTAATAATACACAAAACAATGATTGCAGATGGAGTCCAGGATAACTGGAAACTTGCTTTAATCAAATTAAAAACCTGTTAAAACTTTTCTAATTTATTATCAATACACATTATAAATAATTACTAAATAGTTATATGATGTCGTACAGTATATGTCTGATGATTATGTGATGTGCTGTTGTTTTTGTAAGAAAGGATTTAGCTTTACATAATGCTTTTGTGCAATATAATTAATGAACCCTATATTAACTTTGAAACACTTTGAATAAACCTGTGTGAAGGTGAAAAGTGTTAGTGTTTTGTTGGTGTTTTATACTATACTTTTGGTTTTATTATTTTGGTAATAAAAATTTTTTTTTATTGAATTTGGACCTTCCTGTCTTTATCTCTGAAGACTTTAAACTGGAGGATGCATACTTTGGTTTCTTAGGTGGGGAAGATACCACCTAAGCTATATAGGACTGAGCATTACTTTACTGTGCTCTCTGTTTGTTAGTATATCTGCTTTTATTATTTTATTATTTATTTAGCTGTACAGAGTCTTCTGTTTTTAGTTTCATTTTATACGTTGGTGAACGCTTACTGTGATAAAACGGCATATTGAAAGAGACCACTTCTGTGAAGCTGACCACAACGAGCTACTGACCGGCCTAAGGATACCTTTCCACGTAAGATCAAGACCGAGACCAAGATCAGCATATTCACAGATGGGGATTGTACCATCCAACCATATATATTTGGAGCCGATTTCAAGCTCCAGAAGATTGTAAGTGCATTTCCTTTCTTTTATTTATAATCTCCAGCATCAAAAATATTACACCATATTCCATTTTATTTGTCGTCTTTTTTTACATATCGTTCCATCTATATTTGGGTTGAGGACACTTGTGAAGATGCTGCTCCCCTGCATCCCCTTCCTATATTAACTGCTACTATTAAATGAACACTCAATTATTAAAGTGATGCTATCATCCAATTTGGTATGAAACTGTTTAGTCAGTTATTGGCTGAGAGGGACACCCCAGCACTCTATGATGCCCAGGGTAGACAAAAAAGACATTGATTATGCAGAAGTGCTAATTCTGCATTATCTATGTAGCCGAGAGGGAGATGGTTCCTGTCTGCTAGGAAGAGCCCCAGAAGAGCACTTATTTAGCACTTTGCCCCAGAACAGTACCTGTTTTTGCCTTGATAAATCTCCCCCTTGATACTTAACTGAGGTTGTCACCAGGGCACTTGATGTAGTTTTGTTGCTTATCGTGACCTATATTTAATATATTTCTATCTGGGATAATATACTTTTTTAAATTCTTTATTTCTGGCTTTTAATGACATACAAGTGCAAATGTACAATATGACAGATTGCATACACAGTCATTAAAAGTGGGATCAAATCATGTATAACAAAAACAATTCAAGAAACATTATCTCAGAGATGGCTTTATCGGACGGTTGAACACATATCTCGGTATACATTGATAATGCAGATGTGTTGAGTTAAGGTAACATTCAGACTCAGTGTTAATGCACTTGCAACTATCCCTTATGTAGAAACTGATGATTAAATTGGTGCTTGTTTGCCAGTAGCAGATGGGCACCATGCTAATGACCTGGGGATATTTGCCTGAGATTAAAACGGAGAAAATTCAATACGGTGGGAAAACACAGAGAAGGGCCAACTTGGAACATGAACCTTTCCCACCATTTGTAAATTTGCATAAGTTTAAAGGGTGATAAAGGGATGGCATAATAATTCTATAGGCAATTGGGAACCCTTTTTTTATTTGTCCATTTGAAAAGATTAGTTTTAACATCAATAATTTGCCAACTTGCACGAAATTTAACCTTTATTGAAACATTTAGCAAGAGGCATGTACCGAAATCCCTGATTTACAATTACAGAATTGATTTATGAATTCGATTATAAGAAACAAGTTGCCGCCCCCTATTGTTTTACTTTGGTAGTGTCTGTAACCCATATCTGAGTGTTTAATACCACAAAAAGAATACTGACAGAAAGTAGGCAATTATGCCTTTCATATCTGCGTATGCTGTTCTAAACCATGACTTTATTTTAGCAACAGCATCCGTAATTTGTTTTAATATAACACATAACAATATACAATAGCATATTGCAGGCGGAAGGAAGGAAGATAGGAAGACGGAGGAAAGAAGGACTTAATTTTTCCATGCAATTGTAAAGTCAGTCTTTTAGTAGAAAGAAAGCATATCAGATTTTGATGTTTTAATTTTAGTAATCCATTAAAACAGTGTGAACAGAAAATGAGTAATCATCCAAATCTTATCATAAAACCTAGATGTCACTTTCTGAAAAGAAAATGTCCTTTGTACCTGTGGCAGTGACATATGTCACCTATACCTGCAGCCATTGTTCTTCAAATAGAAGTCTTGCTGGAAAAAAGAAAAACGTTTAGTGGAGCTTGCCAACTGTGTGAATGTCTTCCGTCCCTTCAACGTGGGTGGTCTGAGAAGCAGTAGCTGTGCTTCCAGCATGAGTAGAAAAACAAAAGGAAATAAGAAGTGTTCGTGAATGTGAGGAGATTCCAATCAGGTTTCATTTCCATGCTGAAGGTGTGAGTTTAATCCCTGAATAATTCCTCCCATTACTGAGCTCCACCGAGGGTAATGTTCTTCATTTTATACCTGTAAATGACAATGTAGGATTATTTCTGTAAACGAACAATCCAATGTGGATTTTACTCAGTAGCCCTTTATGAAAAGCCAATCTTAAATAATATTATTCTCCCCAAATGCTCTATAATGAAGTAGAATGCCTTAACAGCATGTTTTCCCTGAGTGTTATCTAGAGCCGTGATTTCCTCAGTTTTGGATTTAGGCATTTTCCCATTTTGCTATGATGTGCCTTGAGGATTGCATTGGGAACCACTGATCTACTAACCCCATACATTGAGAATCCCTAATGTAGAATGATCCACTGACCCAAGGTTGGTCCAAGAGATGGTTCCGTCCGGACCAAATTATGCATCCCATCCGGATACTAAGTCCCTGCTTCCTGAACCCACACAAGTCACCTCTCATACACAACAAAATGGAAACTTTCATTCACTGCCCAACAAATGATATATACAATATATTATCTTCCCATTCTCAGTAGGATTACCCCAGTTCT